GGGGGGGGGGGGGGGGGGGGGGGGGGGGCAAAACTTGCCCCTTGAGTCACCTCGGTCACCTCGAGCGAGAACCAAGGATGGTCACTCATCGTTTTATCTCTAGATGTCTTCATCTGCTGATTTCTATTAGGGTCAGATGAAATTGCTGAATCGCGATGAAGAGAGATGGACCTTGAAGCGAAGGGAAGGGCAAGTGAGGGTGAGAACGAAGGTGAGGAAGGGATCTGATCGAAGGCCTTCGCGTGCGAGGCCTTCTGGCCGTCCCTCGCTATCCGTGGCTATCCATCGCTATCGAGGGATCATCGCGGCCAGGAATGGGGCGATGCTGGGGAAAGTTCGAGGATTAATCTGGAGTTTTGGCAGACCTATTCCTCTGGGTGAATGTCGGCGTGGAACTAAAAATCGCTGCTCTAACCCTTTCACGTGTGGTGTCCACTATAGTGGACGGCAACATTTTTGCCGATGATGATGGTTTTTTAGCCTTGGTACACGTACCTCGAAACTTTTGGTGCATGCAGTCAACTCAAGGGGACATAATCTCTTCAGTATTGCTTTCTAGCGGTGAAACATGCGAGTACTACGGCAGAGTACCTCCTAATACGTTTACCTAAAAAGAGACATACTTTCCTTTTGCTCGAAAAATTCGCATGTGAAAGGGCTAAAGTGTATGCAGATGCCCAGGAACTCAGACGCGACGGAGAGCTCAGATATGACGGAGCGACCCCGAAGGAGTAAAAGAGCAAAATACGTCCGCGAAACAAAGGAACAAAAAATCTTGCGATTCATCGAGTGCAAATAAACGCCCGACCGTGGCCAGGAAGAAGGAACTCACCAGTCACGATACGAATGGAATTTCCTTGATTCGTTTTCGTTCTCTTCCTTCCTCCCCCGCTGCAGACGGGGGAGACTCCGCAAGGCTGCAATTTGTTTTTCGGCAAAAGGACGACTCGAAGGTGAAGACGGTCCCAAGGTCCTCGCGCGACTATAAAAGGGGAAGCGGATGGCAGGTTTCCTCATTCTCTCGTCTGCCTCCGTTTCGTCCAGGTGGGTCCGTGCTTTTCGGGTGGCTTGTGGGCGAGGGTGCTTTGGATGGGGGGGAGGAGGCTGCTCGAGGGATTTCGGTATGTTTTTCTTCAAGTGTTCGGCTCTTCGTGGGATTCGACTTGGGGGTTTTTCGGGTCGAGATGGGAGGCGATCGCGTCGGATCGTTGCGTGGCGACTTTGCGTCGGGAGGTGTGAGTTTTCTCTCGCTGTTGTCGGCACTGAAATTTTGGAGAAGCGAACTCAGGACGACCGGAGCGGGTCTGGTCATCTCTGGGCAAAACTTGAGAAAATCTTCACCCGGGAGTAGGGTGGGTATTTTCCCCCGATTTTGAGATATCCCTTGTGGGCGAATGCTTCGCTCAACAAGGGGACAATGAGCTTGGGGCGATGAGGGGCAAGGGGGGGGGGGCAAGGGGGGTTGCAAGGAAGATGGGGAAAATCGAGCTTTAGGATGGATTTTTGAACAGAGAACTATCCGATAATGCAGCTTTATTTCCGGAAAATATAAGTGTATTTTCCTTGGAATAAAGTTGCATTATCGGATAGTTCTCTGTTCAAAAATCCACCCTTAACCTTTAGTCGAGTTTCTACTGTAAAGTCTGCCAGGTGGTGGTGCTTTGCAGAGTTTCACGCGAAAAAAAGCACAGATAAAATTGATAATTTGACAAACGAAAAGCCGACTTGAACCATATTTGAATTTGGCCTTTTAATATGTATCACTTTAACGAAAGGTTTCCTGGAATGAAGGAATTCCGTAATAAAAATGAAATCGCGTCGCGTCCCATAAAATTAGCATTTCCCCCATAACGTTTACATTGCCCTTCATAGAAGGGAAATTTCGTGGGATTAAAGGTCAGCCTGTCGTCCCAGGCCATGCCCGCCGCAGAGGCTTCCAAACGTCATGCGATTCCGAGGTATTTGCTTGCAGCGCAGTTGAGGTGGCTTTGCCCGTACGTGAGAGGTAGCTTTGCCTTTACGTGAGAGGTAGTTTTGCCCTCACGCAGGGCGATGGTAGGTTCAAAATCCTCGTCTAAGCTCTAGTTGAGAATCCATACTGGCGAACGAATAGAAAAGCAATGGAGAAATAGAATCGAGAAAAGCCATCGATGTCCTCGATCCAGTCGAGGACATCGAAACGGCACTTTTCGAATCCTTGCCAGAACTGCGATGGGATTTGGCACCGAATGTGAATTTAGCACTCGACGGGAGGCGGCGACTTCGGTGCCTTCCGCATAAAAATGTCGTCGCATTTCGAGATTGTTTCGCGATTCGCGACGCATTCCTCATATTCCATCATATTCCTTTATTTCCCCCCTGAGAACAACAAAAATAAATAAATAAATGACAGGAAGGAACCGTCTGCAGTTTTCAGCCAATGGGAGCCGCCTCTGTCCCTACTATGCCTTTCAGTACTTCCGCTAAATTTTCTGCATTGACGAGTACAGAAAGTTCAGAATGAAAAACCCTAGGTAGCCGCTTGTCAAACCTCGTTAGTAATAAAATGTTTAGAGTCGAGTGCCGTCGGTCTCGGGCCTTCTGCGCTCTAAAAATTGATCGAACTAAAAATGGATTCATGGCTGGAGCCGATAATGTCCTAAATTCAAGACATTGCGTTTTTGTAAAACCTTACGAAACGTGATGCATGCGCAGTCATTCGCGCAGAGATGATCCGGCGGATGATCCCCGTCTCCGATACTATCTCGTTGTAAATGGATTCATGGAATGACCCTTAGAAAACGAGCTTGGATGACTTTGAAACGATCCGATGAGACCATTCATTCCAATGAAGGCTCCAAGCTCGCCGGCGTCATCCGTGCTGACGTCACGCGTGATGACGTCATCCACGCGATCCCCTGCGTTCGGAGGGAATCCCGGGGGGGACGATCAGTCGCTTCCGTGCAGTGACGAGGCGAGGAAGTTCCTTGCCGTGGCGATCGTCTCGCCGACGCAGGATGTTCAAGTTTCTCCCAACCGTGTTTTAGTAGATGAATGCGATTTTCCCTCCGTGCCCTAGATCATGTCCTGGATCTTGTCCTTGGTTCCGAGAAAAACTGCAGTACTACGTGTCGGTCTGAAAAGTAGGAGCCGTTTTTATGGCAAGGGACTCGTGCCGAAGAGGACCGAACGACTTTCTGGTATTTCTTCTCGGGCACAAAATGTCACCGAATCGTCTTAAACAGTTACGCGGTCTTAGTTATCTCTTTCGTGTTCTCGCGATTTCTCGTGCGCGCAAATGGACAACTGGGAAGAGAATCGGTCGTGTACATATGGGCTACGTGTCTCAGATGAAAATATGATGAATCGGGCTCACGGGGAAACACGGAGTGCCAGAATGTGCAATGCCAAAATTCAGACGTTTGCACGGAATTTTCGGAATTCCTGGAAGAAGGCGAGAAGACTTTAGATTGCGTTGCTCATTGCCTGGCTGCTTAGAAAAAGAAACCCTTTTCGAGTCTGAGGAGGAGTATCCCGCAGGATGAGGAAGTAGGGATTTGCAGACACCGATTCCCTTGTCGCGAATCGGCATGCATCTAGCCTGGAGTCGAGAAAAAACGTTACGAGTAGATGACGATCGCCGAGTCGCGACGGCATGGGCGGGAACGAACGCAAAATTTAGTCTATTTATTCGTGCGAAATGCCTCAAGAAAGCGCGGCCTAATTGAGTAGGCACATTTCATCGATGAATGTAGGAAGGGTCTCGATGAATGCAGGATGGGCCTTGATGAATTTAGGAAGGGCACGGGCAGTTTAGCTGT